GAAGTCTTTGTTCCTTGAATAAAGGACAAGGCAAATTGTCAGATGTGTTCACCCTTGTAAAAGGAGCATTTCCTGACCTATTCGCGGATGCTTATTCCCCGCCTCATTATCGTCGAGCCTAGCTCTAAGTCCTCGTCTATCCGAGACCAGCTTATAAGACTCCGATCTTTTGACACTTCACCAGATGTTTATCCCTGGCTTCGCGGGATGCTTATTCCTTGCCTCATTATCGTCGAGCCTAGCTCTAAGTCCTCGTCTATCCGAGGCCAGCTTATAAGACTCCGATCGTTTGACAATTCGTCAGATGTTTATCCCTGGTTTCACGGGATGTTTATTCCCCGCCTCATTATCGTCGAGCCTAGTTCTAAGTCCTCGTCTATCCGAGGCCAGCTTATAAGACTCCGATCGTTTGACACTTCGCCAAATGTTTATCCCTGACTTCGCGGGATGCTTATTTCCAGTCTCATTATCGTCGAGCCTAACTCTAAGTCCTCGTCTATCCGAGGCCAGCTTATAAGACTCGGATTGTTTGACACTTCGCCAGATGTTTATCCCTGGCTTCGCAGGATGCTTATTCCCCGCCTCATTATCGTCGAGTCTAGCTCTAAGTCCTCGTCTATCCGAGGCCAGCTTATAAGACCCGATCGTTTGACACTTCGCTAGATGTTTATCCCTGGCTTCGCGGGATGCTTATTCCCCGCCTCATTATCGTCGAGCCTAGCTCTAAATCCTCGTCTATCCGAGGCCAGCTTATAAGATTCGGATCGTTTGACACTTAGCAAGATGTTTATCCCTGGCTTCGCGGGATGCTTATTCCCCGCCTCATTATCGTTGAGCCTAGCTCTAAGTCCTCGTCTATCCGAGGCCAGCTTATAAGACTCGGATCATTTGACACTTCGCCAGATGTTTATCCCTGGCTTCGCGGGATGCCTATTCCCTGCCTCATTATCGTCGAGCCTAGCTCTAAGTCCTCGTCTATCCAAGGCCAGCTTATAAGTCTTCGAGAGTTCGACAGTTCGCCAGACGTTTATCCCTGGCTTCGCGAAATGTCTTTTCCTCGCACCTCACTATCATCGAGCTCAGTTTTAAACCCTCGTCTATCCGAGGCCAGCTTATAAGACTCTAATAGTTCGACTCTTCGCCAGACATATGTTCCCCGGCTTCGTGAGATGTCTTTTCCTTGCCTCACTATCGTTAAGCTTAGCTCTAAGTCCTCGTCGACCCGAGGCCAGCTTATAAGACTCCGATAGTTTGACATTTCATCAGAGGTTTATTCATGGCTCCATAAGATGAGTATCCTTCGCCTCACCAAATGCTGTCCACAGCTTGACAAAGCTTCAACCCACCTGAGGCAGAGTCCCTTGTGGATCATCGCCTCGATCATTGAGTTCTACCTTGAGCTTTACTGACCTTCAGCCATCTCCCGCATCGGTCGCAGATGAGCTCCCCACTCAGCTTTAAGAGTTTAGACACACTTGAGGTGGAGTCCCCTGTGGGTCATCGCCTCGGTCGCTGCGTTCCCCCTTGAGCTTACAAAGCTTTAGCCATCTCCCAGTGCGTCGTCCCCTATGGATCATCGCATCGGTGGCAAATGAGCTCCTCACTCAGCTTTACAAAGTTTAGACGCACCTGACGCGGAGTCCCCTGTAGGTCATCGTTTCGGTGGTTGCGTTCCCTCCTAAGCTTTACAAAGCTTTAGCCGTCTCCCAACACGTCGTCCCCTGTGGATTAGCGCACCGGTGGCAGATGAGCTCCTTCCTCAAGTAGCATTGAAGCTTCAGCGCCTCAATTGAAGATGTGTCCCAACCATCAGCTTCACAAACTTCAGCATCTCCCATGCGTTGTCCTATGAGTCAGTGCTTCGGTAGAGACAGTTGAACCTACAATCGCAGCAGCAACCATACACTCAGCTGATCTTAAAAAGTCAACGGCTGACATACATCAGCATGCTTCAGTATCAGTACAGCTACTCATATTCAAATCAGAGCATTGCCTCTGCATCCAGAGCATCGCCCCTATCGCCTATGCTACTTACATTCAGAGCATCGCCTCTACATCAACTTTATCAGTGCCTTATACTTCAAGTCCGACCCGTATATAAATATTCGGCTCAGACTTGGAGGGGCATATTACTGCTAGCATACACATCACATTACTGCTTCCAAGCATGAATGACATGACATATCACTGCTACCATGTCATACATTATTTTCATCACAGCCAGTACGTATGTCGTATTATCATCATTTTCATTTTATTGTCTACATCATGTTACTTGTTTCACTATAGCACTACTAATACACTAAGCTGTGCGAGCATATGATTTATTATAATGCATGACAGACCCTCTGCACATATCTTGGAGAAATGCGATATGTTACACCTTATGAGCATTTAAAGGGGCAAATGGACCCCAAATTTATTTGGTATATGTGCTGTGGATATATTGTATTGTATTACAGGATTGGTTTAGTCCATATTACAGAGGAGATGCTGTCGAAATTTTGAAAAAGTATACGCAGTATATCTTTCGAGGCAATTCGTAAGTCCTCGCTTATTCTGACACATTTTCTGAGGCAGTTCGTAAGTCCTCATTTATTGTAGTGACTCATATTTCTCGAGGCAATTCGTAAGTCCTCGCTTATTCGAGATCGATGCATATTTTCGAGACAATTCGTAAGCCCTCGCTTATTGGAGCTACCCATCTTTCTGAGGCAATCTGTAAAACCTCGCCTACTTGAGAATTTAGCTTTCAAGTCCGACCCGCATATAAATAACACGACTCGGACTTAGGGGACTACTGTTATGCCTATGAATTATCACTCCATATTGGGCCACCTTATTAGACCCGAGTCAGGTCCATTAGTGTTGGGCCCCAAAGCCGAGGCTCTAAGAAGTCTAGCCGAGGCGCCACTGAGGCCATAAAAAGCCCAGCCGAAGTGCCTATCACTTTGCTCACCTCATACTGGGCTCGAACTTAGGCCCATTAACCCGCCTTGGCCCATTTCACATCATTTCTCTATATATATGGATTCAATTCACAAGTTAAGGTATGTTCTAAATACTCTAGTCAAATCCCCCATCTCTCTACTATTGCACTCTATATATCTATTTTCATCCGGCCGTTGACTTGACCGTCGGAGTGCAAACGGTCGCCGGACCTTTTCTTCGTCCAGTCGCCTTTGCCTCTTGACGGGTACTACATGCACAAGTTTCGAGGGGACGAAGTTAGGGTGTCTGTTGGAGCCATTTTTGGGGGGTCAACAATGGCTTCCGTGGTTCAAACTCTTCTGGAATCGGAAGATGATACAGAACCTTGTAATTGCATTTTTTAGCTCTAAAATTATGCTCTTCTTTCTACATTTTTTCTTTGTCATCGAAATTGTAATCAGAATTTCCTTGTCTTGGTGGCTAATGTGAACTCAATTTTATTTTATTTTTTCTGCCATTTAGGTGAATAGATTATCGAATCCTAACACACAAATTATTGCAGCAAAATAAATATATATATTTTTTTCTCGTCTTTGAGTGACTAAGGAGAAATAATGTGAACTCAGAATAGGACTGAAAAATTTTGCTTCACCAGAAAAATACTCCATCAATAGCAGTATGAAATTGATAACATTGTCACCATACGGAATAGAAGATTCAAATTTTCCACAGAATTTCCAAATTTCACAACTCTTTGACTTTGGACCACTTCTAAATTTCTGGTTATTTAATTGGTTAGACGGTTCATTGAGAAAAAATATCGCCAGGCTCAGAATGTTACACATTTTGCTTCGAGGGCTTGAGCTTCTCTGATAGAAAAATATCTATAATTTTTGTGGAGCATCAGCAAGAATATGTCAATGTAAAGAGAAATCAAGAAAATCTAGAAAAGCTACATATTTGTCGTAGTACAGTTGTTATATCGTGACACTTTATTTAAAAGTAACGTGGCATATTATGATCAAGCCGTTGCAAAGTGACATAGTGAACCACGCGCTGAAATGACCGAGCTCATCCAGACCAAATCCACCACAAGAGTCGCCCAAACTCCAGGGCTCGAGCACATGATTAGAAATGTGTTAATACTTGCAAGGAACCCCACCATTCCCGATTCGGTTTTCATAGCTTTGCTCCTCAAAGAGGAAAGCACTACACATCCTATGAGATGTAAACTGACAAACATACTAAACACTCTACAACCAACTTATTCATCAATTTGGAACTATGAAAAGACCAAGTCAGTTTAATTGCTGGACACCCTTAACAACTGTCCTATTCAACTAAGGCCATGTTTGATTGGCAAATCTTTTCCATGGAAAATGGATTTTATTTTCCCATTTTCAAGTGTTTGATATGGTTTTTTTCCATGGAATTGAAGTTCCATTTTTTCTTGGACCTTAGAATTTTCTAGCTTCTTAGGTATTGGTAGGAATTGATTTTCTCGGTTACTGTAGGAAATATGTAATTTTTTTTTCTTTTTTTCTTTTTGTTGTCAAAGTTCACAAATTCTAAGAATTATTGTAAAAAAATATTTCTCTTTAATTGACAATTTTCAAATAAAACAAAGCCAAACGAACATCAAAATATAGATGATTTTCTTGAATTTTTTATTTTTAAATTTTTTTAAATTTTTTTGCAGTGGAAACAAATTTCATTCCCAATACCAGTAAATTCTATACATTTAATTGATAATTTTTATATAAAACAAAGTCAAACAAACACCAAAAAATACTTTTATTTCAACATTTTCCACGTGGAAAATTATGCCAATCAAACACGATAATTTACAATTCCCAAGAAAACAATTTCCCATCAATTCAATTCCCTGAAATTCGTTTTCTTTCCACCCAAATTTCACTTTTGCAATCAAACGAAACCTAATAAGAATTGAAAGTCCGGTTAAATGGCAAATGTGTAAATAAACATTATTGTCTAGCTAAAGTCATGTTTGACCTAGTCACTGTCTATATATACAAGATCAGACATAAATGTGCGGTGTGCGGTAAGTAATCCTTTAAATTAAGTTAGAACTTTGCCAAATTCTCTTATGGCTATCGGCTTTTGGAATTTTTGTCTGACTAATTGACTGACCTTGTTGACTCGAAGATTCCTTCTTCTTCTTCTTCTCCCTACTCGATTTCACCCGTCCTCTTAAAAGCAAGCTCGAACTCAGTCCCATTAATCTGAGAAGGCTGCTCGTTTGCCCTAGGCCTTGGCCTCATTTGACTACAAGACTTGTCACTCAAGGTTTGACTCCAAAAAACTTAATTAGATTTTTTGTGGAGGTAAGAAATCAAAATATTTAAAGAAAGCATTTACACATGTTCAATGTCCCCAAAATATTATTTTGCATATTCCTCATTATAAAGCACCAATATTGCCCTAAAAATCAGAAAATAAACACATCAAACAGAGCATAAAAAATCTAAAAGAACATTACCACTGAAAATGTTGGAAGGAAAAGCAATAGTTCGCGAAACAGACATGCCAGATACAATGAAGAGCCGAGCTATGGAGTTGGCTTATCAAGCTCTGGATCTACATGAAGTTGCTGATTATCAATCCATTGCTCATTATATTAAACAGGTATTTATTATCGTCTAAAACTCACAGTATTGGATATGACTGCATGAAGTTCTCGTTTAATGTTCATACAAACTCGTTAATTTTGTCACCATTGAGCAATGAAACAGCCCAAAACTGTTGGGATTTGGGTTCCTTCCCAGAAGATTAATATGTTAAGAAAAGTAGCTCAATTCCTTCATAAACTGAGGACCATCCCCTTGTCTAGTAGGTGTGGAACTTCCGAACTTGTGTTTTCACTTTACCAACAAGACAAAATAATCACAATGGGCTTATAACTACCACTTCCCATTAAGCTTTATAAGCATATTAGGCACTTTCTCAATACAGGCTCGGATCCTCACCGTGGATGAGGAGACCTGGAGCTACCTTCAGTTTTGTTAAATCAATCATGGACTACGACAACTATTTTTGAATCTCGTATAGTTCTTGAGAGACCTACTTTGTAGTGAGAATTTTGAGTCGAGGATAGTAATTGAACTATCAGAATTGATCTACCCACAGGAGGCAAGATAAAAATTATCCACTAATCAACAGTGAAAAGTTTTTATCTTGTCCACTGGAGGCAAGGAATCAGGCCTTATTGAACTGTCATAATAATAAGATGCTTTGTGTTGTACAGAATTTTGATAAATGCTATGGACCAGCATGGCATTGTGTGGTTGGCACAGACTTCGGTTCTTGCATCACACATTTATGTGGAAGCTTCATTTTCTTCCGGGTGGAGATGATGGAATTTCTTGTATTCAAAGATGGGAAAGATGCGTCCCAAAGCAAGGAAGAAGCTGTAGGAGTTCTGCACAAAACTGCCTAATATGTACAATTCATAATCTGTTTAACAGTTATTTTTTCAACTATTCTCTGTTGAAGGCCTGTATTAAATACCCCAATAAAATTCTAGGGGCATCTTGGTACTGCCATGTTTGTTTCTACCTGGAAGTATTACCTCAGATTTTGCCTTGCACTCCCCACTTCATTGGCATTTGCTATGCAGGATTAGTAACATCACCATCTCATAAAAAACTTATAAATAGTACAGCGCCTTCTTTATAATTCAAGGAATAAAATCAGTACAGGCACAATTTGAATGGGAAACAGAAAGAGGCAACAAAAATTTATCATGATAAAAGTGATCAATGATAAAAATGACCTAGAACAATAAAAATAACAAAAACATATTACGAGTGATAAAACTGACGCGAGACAAGATGATATCAAGTAAGCCTATACATCGAAAAAAAATTCATGGTAGCCACCTTAAAATTTACCACCGCATAATTTTTCAAGAACACGAGGAAAATTTGCATACTAATTCTAATTGCCTTGTATTTTAACCAAAACTGATCCTTACTGCACATCCTAGCTTGGTGAAACAAGGGTTACAAACTTCATGGAGGAAGATCCTTAACTAGATGCAAAGATTAAGAACTAAAAGGCCCTTGTGACAGTAGTGTCTTCAGTGTTTCATACGTCATGAAAGCTATCCCGACACTTGGAACAACCTTATAGTATTCAGGCATAATACCTCTGTACAGACCATGCAAGCCTTCCGCACGGATAATGTGCCTAAATGTCCCGAACAACCCAGTATTGTACACTCGGGCCCTACCAGCAGCCCCTTCCAGTTGCATTCTTCGCCTCACAAGATCCAAAGGGAATGTTGCTGCAATGCATCATGCATAAACAAACAAAAGTTTCATATAATGCTTTCTTGTGGGGCAACCAATTATATTAGATCCTAATTTACAGTGATGTTTTATAACACTTTCCTCTGTGCATGTACAGAGCTTGCCAACATTATACAACCAAATTGGGTTCAAAATTCACCTCAACCAGTATCCAAGTATTCTTGAGACTCCCTAATGATAAACAGTAATTTCAGACACCAAGATCAGAAACGTGTTAAAATAAACTACGTAAACCGATAAGAGTTACAATTGAACTCTAAAATTCCAAATCGGGAAACAGTACCAGTGTAATTAGTCCACGAAATTCTTAACAGGGTGAACATGTAAATAAAAGAATAAGGATATCTTTCTAGATATAGAGCTTGTTTGGTACAGCTTACAAGCCAATTAAAATCAATTTTTTGACCATTATTTCATTATTCCAACCGTCATTTTTTAATTCTTCTCTCACACACGTAGGACCCACTTTATCTCTAACGATCAAAAAATCAATTATCAAAATCTCTATCAAACAAGCACATAGGATATATTATAAGATCGGAAAAATTGAAACGCAGTCCCCAATCTTTCAATATAGTTATACAAGTAGTCTTCGGGGACTGTAACCATCCAATTTAAGTTAAATGGACAATTCTACCCTTATTTTCATTAAAAGATAAACAAAATAAAAAATATTTACCGCCCTCGAATAAACCAGGGAGATGCGCTCGGAAATCCTTCAACATATACCCCCTCAGTCATGTGGTAATAGAACGCAAATATACTAGGAAGAGGGACTGGGTCCAAAACCAAAGGAAACTGCCGACCAATGCCAGGTGAGTCTGAATTTATGATGATAGGGGTGGGGGACGGGAAACTGGGAGTGCAACAAGCCAAAATTAGGGGCGGAGATGAGAGCAGCAAATGGTAATACGGTTTACTGAGAGGCAGGGCTGGTTTGTTGCAGGGGAATGGTGCATTATCAAAATAGCGATCTAGATCATAAGATCGCACGACCTACAATCCGAAAAAAGTAAAACGATCCAGATGGTATACATAGCCCTTGTTTGAGCCACATTATTTTCCTAAAAATGCATTTTTGAATAGTGTATTGATGGAAAATGTGTTTTTTTTTTAAAAAGGAAAAATTTTGGATTTGCAAGTAATATTATTTTATTGAAAAATGTGTAGTTGAAATGATGTCAAATCACTGTTTAAAAATGCATTTTTAAATTTTAAAAGAATGTGGGTCATACAGGCATAAATGCAATTCACTAGGATTGCTAAAAGAATCGTTTTTAATCCAATCCATAGGAATCAATAGAAAAGGCTAATCCCATATGATACACCAGATCCGGCTCGAACTAAGGTCGGTTTTTGGGGTTAGCTCACTCTAGGGGATCGCATGCGTTTCGACGATATCTCTTATGATTGATGATTGGATAACAGAAAATGAGGATAGAGTTCTTCCACAACAATGCAATTATTTGGATGTTCATGATATATCTACATGAAAGAGAAGCTTGGAAATACCCTTTTTAGCATCATGTCTGAATTGTTATTTTGACAAAAATCCTTGTTGTACACAGCAGTTGAATTTTTTTATTTTAATTTTTTTATTGTTTGTCTTATAGTTGTGAATTTGTTCTTAGAACTTCTATTTTTATATTTTTCAATATTTCCGATCATTCTTTAGGAGGATCTTACAGTCCTCGATCCGATCCTCAAGGCCCCTCCACCGACAAGATCCTATTTAAGATCCAAACAACCTTGGGTGGGTTCGCGAAGGTTCTTGTCTTTTCCCTTTTCCTTTCATGTTTTCTTTTCTTTCTATTTCCTCTTTAATTTTAAAAAAATAATAATAAATTAATTGAGGAGCAAGTCACTACAAGCACTAAAAAATGGGGACAAATGCTGCAATTTTTCCAAAAAATATACATTTCAGATAGTACAGCACAATCACCTGTTGATGATGCGATGCCTGAAAGGCTGCCACAAGCAAGGCTGACTGCTACAACAGAATCATTGGGCCTGATAGAGATCAAATTGTCATTCTCAAGAATAATGAGGATTAGGACATAAACTAGAATATTAAATAAAGGATACATCAGCCTCTCAACAACTATGTCCTCACCTTTGGGAATGCCAATAGAATCTCAAACTTTCGTAAACAGAAAAGCTAATCGCTATACTGGGTCCAACGCCCTGCAACCACCCAAAAAAAAATAATATATAAAAAAATAAAACCGGGGATGCAAAGAAGCAAAGGAAGGGATGAAGATATATACCAATAATGTTGCTCCGAGTCCTTTGTACAAGCCAAAGAAACCTTCATCTTTGCATATGGTATGAAGCGCATGCCAGATGCCCCGGTAATATATTGTATTCCTCTAAAAAGTTTCCAAACTAACTGAGTTCAGCCTCAGTATTAAAACAAAAATTCAAAAAATAAATTATTGGAATAACATGGATAACTGAGGTAAACGAGAGATATCCCCCAAAAGCAGCTGACCATAGAAAACAAAAGTGTAAAGAGGCAAGGTAGGCCGCCAATGAAGACACAGAGTAGCTAGCAACCTGTTTTCATTTGAAATTTTATATGCATGTTATCTTTGCTCGTTGTCCTACAATTTATATCAGGTTTTCCTCTTAACTTATTTCTTCAAGGTAGGCAGGGTTTTTCGGTCTGCATGTGCACATCCGCTGGCTGTGGCAGACTGGTTGGCAGCGTGGGTGAGGGAGTGGATTGATTCTATTAATGTAAATGGGCAAAAAAGAACTATAATTCTATTAACAGGGGCTGAAAAGAAATCCCACCTCTATATTAAAAAATACAAAGACAATGATAAAGAGTGGATTTATAATGTAAAAAACATACACATTATTACTGTACCTGTGCAGCAAGCCGTGTCCTGACGAGATCCAGTGGATATGTAGCAGAAGCAGCTGTCATTCCCGCCAAACCACCACCAACAAAATGCACAAAAACATCTGCACTTGCATTTTCCCCATAACCATCAAGTCCTGGAATAGATTTTAAAACCTGAAAAGATTCTAGAATCGGTAACCAAGGTAATACGCAACCTGCAAAGCAGCAAACTAAACATGTTTTAAGGAATTAAAACTGTAATCCTAATCTCACAAAACTCACATTCTTGTAGCGTTCATAAGCATAGAAGCTGATCGAAGAATATGGAAGCCGGTGAGCAATTGTAACCAAATTCCCTTTCCAGAAAGCTCTAAAGCCTTCCTCATTGACAATACGTAGGGCCTCACGCCATATGTTAGGCTTTACTGAAACATCAGAGTGCATACCTTGTACCTAAAGCCGAGCCAGCGAGTAATTTTCAAATTAATAAAAAAAAAACATATAATGGGGAGAGATAAACGACCAAATAGCTAATATTTAGCTACCAACGCTATAATAAGATAAAGGATAGCAAGTACAGAGAACTTTTTACTGAGGTAACAAATCGCTAAAATTCAAATTTTTAACATGGTAGTGAAAATTATATGGTTCTATATTCCCTGACATCAAAACCATTTTGGACACCCATATCTGCACTTTCAAATTTTAATATACCTATTAATATTGCAAGAAATTCATATCTTTAAGGCCCCAAACACTATTCTGCCCAAATATGTTTGAACAGATACACATCAATTCCTTCAAACTATTGGGAGATCCGTAGGGAGCTCCTTTTTCCTTCTTTTTTTCATTTTGTTCATATCATTCTGCAATTAGAAACATCCACCCATAAAAACCTCAATTAAATAGTAAACAATCACCTTCCAATGCCTTGCCCATTTGGGCCAAGAAAATGGATGAATTGATAAGGCAAGTAAATAGCAAATTTATTTGCCCATGCGTTCACATGGCTGAACTTTACAGAGACAAAAACAAAATTGCTTCTACCATGCATACGCACGGGTTAAAAACTAGCCACTGAGGTCTGGTTTGTTATTGGTGGCTTTTCATGAATCAATTGGAGCCTTTTTGTGACGTATTGATTGAAAACTATATATAGGAAATAGTTTTCATTTCTAAACACAATTTGATACAAGTTATCATAATTCATTTCATATTTTGAAAGAGATTTCCCAATTCTCATATACATATTCAAATCACTATTTTGTGTTCTTATTCTTTAAAGAGTTTTTCACTTCATTGCACAATGCAAAACTCTAAAAGGCTTGTCATATCCTCTAAACTATTTGCAGAAAATCTTAAAAGAAATTCGAGAGAGGCAAATATCGTTTTCAGGAAAGCATATTATAAACGTATTTCAGGCCTTATTTTTTTATTCGTGTTTTAATCTCTTTTTTTCTCCTCTTCAATTTTCCAACAATCAATTATCCCTATAATTAGTACCTTAAGGAGATAAGGAAAAAGAAAGAGAAACCACAACACCTGAAAGAGAATGGTGAGGCGAGCTAGAGGAGCGGTGCAGGTTTTACTGAAAGCTCCGGCGATGCCACCGGCAAGGAGTTGAGGAACAGTTCCTATCTGCGTAACAGGCTGCTGCTGCCGTTTCGGCCGCGAATGTTGATGGTGTATTAACTTCCTGGTAGATGTACCACCATCCACAACCCCTCCATGCGCCGACATCCCAACTCTAGCTTCCATTTATCGAATTTTCCCCCAAAAAAAATTCAGAGGTGAAACCAAATTATTGATTCAAGGAGCGTGGGAATTGAAAAAAAGTAATGCTTTAAATTTCTTTTTTGATTTCTTTGCCGGGTTGTTGTAATAAACCCTAGAGAAAACCTAACAAGGGAGTGATCCGAATTTGCGGAATATTATTTTACATATTTCTCATGTTTTGTTGGTGTTATTGAGAATTGGAGTAAACCTTTTCCGCCAAGAAAAGATGCAAACTTCGCAGAAAAGAGAATTAGCGGAATCTGGTGTGATTCACGATGTCGCTACAAAAGCCCAAACTATACATGTGGGCCAAGAATTAAAGCCCAAGATTTATAGGGTCCCACCAATATTTTTATAAATTAGCAACATAAAACAAACCAGCATGATTGGTTAAGCTTATAAAAAAATATTTATACACACTTTTAACTAACTTTTTATTTTTAAGCATATTTCAGTAACTTTTTATTTTAAGAACAAGTACTTTACTCGTTTTTACTTTAATTAATTATTTGTTTAAAAAGTGATTTTTTTAAGCTTGGCCTAACAAGCTCATATATAGTTTCTTTTAAGGGTAATTGGCGCAAAACGTTCCTACTTTTCAAGATTATTGTGGAAAACGTCCCTACTTTTCAAGATGATTGTGGAAAACGTCCCTACTTTTCAAGATGATTGTTGAAAATGTCTATACCTTTCATTTTTTGACATTTTTACCCTTATTTCAACCTTTCATTGCACTGAAAACCCTTTTCATTGTTTTGAATCGTAAAATGACCAATATACACTCATATTTAAATAAAACAATAAAGAAAATAAAATAAAAATAAAGAACAAATTGCAAAAATAGGCCCAAACTTTTTAAAAAGTGCAAATTAGCCCAAAAATCTTATTAAACCATTAAAAATGAAAAAAAAAAGCAAAAAAAATAAATTCTCTCTCTCCTCTCCCCTCCACCTCCGATGATGATTGAAAGCAAATTATTTATGTTATTGAAAATAAGGAAAAAAAATCAAACAAGTATTACTGTAATATCATATGAAATCAATGATAATTAATTGCGTCCAACTGCATAAATACATAGCTCCAGCCACATTCACGAAAGTCTCTGAAAAATCCGAATTATATTGCGTTTCAGATTTTTCTAGGGTTTCGTCTATTCCTCAACAAAGCCACAAGAATTACTCTGGCTCATCCTGATGCGGGGCAGCCTTTCTGCCTAGTAACCGCCCTGCTGACCCAATTAATCGCTATTCCTCACCCATAGCCAACCTAGAGTCGCTACTTCAGATTAAATTGACAAGCCTGGAGCCTCGATTTCACAGAATCATTCTCCAATGATTCGTTTCTTGATTTTTGGAACCAGAATTTTTGATCCTTGGGTGATGTACGACGAACTAAGTACTCCATTAGTTCTTGCTCAAGATTAATAGGTCTGAAAAGTAAACTAAACATATTAAATATTGATGTTTCTACCCTTACAAGGGATGGAATCATAGCATAGACTTGGATAATTCCATTTTGAGATGGTTGAAAAAACCCCTCTTTTCAATGCGCGGACTTTCTCAATGCATATTTCCATAGACAATGTTATTTGATCTTTATGGATGATAAATATTTCTTAGCACATGGATTGTGAATCCAAAAAAAAAAAAAAAAAATTAATTAATTTTTCCGTAAGCATTGTTTAAAATTGCCGAAAACTTATGGAATTGTTATGTGTATAAATGATTTTCAGATTTTTGTGTTGTTTTTGCTGTTTGTAGGAATTATTGGAGTTGGACAACAATTGTGATTTCTAGGGATTATTCATAAAGTTTGAATCTTGTTAATGTAAATATGAGTTTCTGGGGATTATAGGAGGTGGTGGGGAGAGGAGATAGCTTTTTTTTTTTCCTTTTTTTTTAATGGTTTAATAAGATTTTTGGACTGATTTGAACTTTTAAAAAGTTTGGGCCTATTGTTGCAATTTGTTCTTTATTTTTCTTTTCTTTTCTTTATTGTTTTATTTAAATATGATGGTATATTGGTCATTTTACGTTTCAAAACAATGAAAAGGACTTTCAGCACAACGAAAGATTGAAATAAGGGCAAAAATGCCAAAAAAATAAAAGGTTAAGACGTTTTGCGCCAATTACCCTTTCTTTTAACCATGTGTTTGTGAATGTAAATTTAGTTGCTGAGCAGATATCCAATATATTAGCAACAAAGTCTAAATTTATGTTTACTATTGTATATGACGAGAAATAAATAATGTGGTTGATTGGTTAGCAAATCTGAACTACCAAAAAAGAAAAAAAGAAAAAATGTTCCTTCGCCATCACAAAATGGACTAGTATTGCCTAATTAGAGCGTGTTTTGTCATTGGTCAGTCATTTTTTGTGCTGCCTTCTATTGATTCGTTTATTGGAAAAGAAATGTGTGTAGCTTCGATTAAAAATAAAAAATAAAATTCCTTAAGTGCACACTAATATACTAGGGTGGAGAGAAAAACCAAATCTCTCGTTCAAACCCTGTTTAGTAAAGATTTCCCTTATTCAAACTCAAGTGGTTCTATATTGATGATTATCAATCTATATAGCAATGGATCATTGTCACATTATTCAATATAATTGGAACGTATACATATTCATTTGACAGTATGACAGTGATCTTACTAATATATAAACTAGTAATCTTCTTCGTAAAGGATAATCGCATTATTCTTCAAAGTTAGGTAATTGATTGAAAATTCTTCATTGTCCTAGCTTTAAAAAAAAAAAGGCGGAATGTGCTAAATATATTGCAAGTATTTTAATTATGTTTAATCTTTAGCATAGATAATGATTTTGTTGTCCCTATCAATGTCGAAATCGTTGAATCGACGAGTTCGCCGCCTTCAATTAAAACGTGTCTTGGGGATTAGAGAAGTATGAGATCAACTCTTAGGCTTATATTCAAATATTCAAGAATGCCATTTTGTTTGCTTGGTGCAATGATATTGACGAGTTCTCCATCAAACTACTTTAAACCAAACCTTGGGCCTTAATTACTTGGCCCATTCTGGATAGAGACTACTTTAAAAATTATTGGCCCACAAATATTCATTTAGGCTAATTAGTTTCATTGGATTCGACGAGTCCAATAATAAATACTAAGGGTGTGTATGATAGGGTGGAATTGGAATTGGATTTTTCAACTTTAGGTATTTGATACATTTTTTTTTCCATGGAATTCGAATTCTTGGTTTTTAGGGTATATGGTGGGAAATTAATTTTCCTACCTACTGTAGCATTTTTTTTTTTATTTTTTTTTTTTAGTAATGGAAACAAATTCTAAGAGTTATTGTAAAAAAAAATATTTCCCTTTAAATGGCAATCTTAATGTACAAAGTCAAACGAACACCAAAAGATAGATTATTTTCTTGAAATTTTTGAATTTTTTTTTTGCTGGCAATGGAAACAAATTTCATCCCCAATACTAGTAAAAGTTATCCCTTTAATTGACAATTTTCATATAAAACAAAATCAAGCGAACACCAAAAAATACTTTTATTTCAACATTTTTCACGTGAAAAATTATACCAATTAAACACAATAATTTACAATTCTAAGAAAAATAATTCTAGGCAATGCAATTCCCTAGAATTCGTTTTTTAGACAATTCAATTTCATTTTTACAATCAAACGGACCCTAAATGAATAAGGGAATATTACATAAAGGGCAGTGTTCAAACAGCTAAATAAGTTTTACAAAAATAAGGTGATAATATAATAAATCAAGCTACAGTGACATAATCATTGATATAATGGTTAACACAATACCATATGGTACTTCATCATTGAACTGTTTTAAATATGATTAATTTTTTTATTCAATCACATCTTGTCAGCATGTCATTCCATCAATCAACCATTTCCTGTCAAAGTCGCATAACTCTTATATGATACAATTTCAAAATTAAGAAACTAATTTTATTTTTTTAAAAGTCAGATCTTAATTAAAATTAATTTATTAAAGGAAAATTTGCAACAAAGGCACCAAACCTTTTGTTTATTAGCAAATTTGACTCAAACCTTTCATTTGTGCCAACCACGATACCAAACATTTCAAAAATTCTCAGTTGAAGTCCAAATGGATAAAAACTGTTAGTTGACCAAATAATTAACATTGACCTAAATTTTGACTAATTTTAAAATGATAAGATGATAACTTTACATTTTTCAACAAAAAATATTTACAATATATTAATAATTAAATTTTAAAAAAATACTATTCATCTTCTTCTTGCACCCACCCCAAAACCAAAACCGACCAAAATTGGCTCCCAACCCGAACATAATTCTCAAACTCCAGAAATCAGATGGTAAAGCAGTGATTTTGTTACTACTCAGATCCAATGTTTCAAGCTTTGTTAATTACCCAAATATTCGACACAAATAATCAGATGCCATATTATGAATTCAATGGCATGTTAGAATCAATTAACATAAAGAAGCAATGGTCTTGTATTTATCAATTTACTGGCTTTTTGGCGGAGTAGCCCACTTCTCATTGCCTACTTTTAGTGCACCGCACTTTCCCATATCTTTGACATATCACATGTTTGTATCAGTTACATAGAGAAGTAATATGAGGTTTTGAACTTCAATGTCAACAATTCAGACAAGCAAAAGATCGGTCAGAGAGGATAAAATAGAAATTTTGAGTATTTGCCCTTTCAGGTCCTTTGAGTGGGTGCCAATTTTGGTGAGTTTTGGTTTGGGCGTGGGGGTGGGTATGGGGAGCGTGGGTAGAGAAGAAGTTGAATAGTGTTTTTGTTTTTTTTATTTAATTATTAATATATTGTAATTATTTTTTTATTGAAAAATATAAAGTTACCATTTTATCCTATTAAAATTAGTCAAAATTCAAGTCAATGTTAATTATTTGGTCAATTAACGGTGTCCATCCATTTGGACTTCAACTGCGAGTTTTTGAAAGGTTTGGTATCGTAGGTGGCACAAATAAAAGGTTTGAGTCAAACTTGCTAATAAAACAAAGATTTAGTACCTCGACTGCAAACTTTCCTTTATTAAATAATTAATTATAATATATTTTATTAATTAAATGCATTAAGTCACAATATTATATACTTTATGGTCACAATTACAGAGGTCACAATCATGAATTATAAATTTTATATGTTATAATTTATTTTTCGATTACAAATTATCAGATTAATTGAAAATATTATTTTTCAATCACAAATTTTATACGTTACATTTATCAAAGTAATAGGTCAC